AAGTGGTGTGAGGTGCAGTGGTAGGTGATGCAGCACCTCGAATAGAGGTTGGTGGTTCGTTTCCGTCAAGCACAGAGAAGAGAGTTTCACGAGTATCTGAGTATTTACACTGACGTTACATTTGCACTCATATTCCGCTTCTCTCTCAGATCGGAAAACCTGGAAGCAAGATGCATTACCGCCCGTCATACAAGGGGCTTTCCAAAAAGTGGACTGTCATAAGTCAGACCAATCAGAAGCCGAAAGATAATCCTGCAATTTTTGACGGAACCTGAGGGTGGTGGATAGTGTTCGGCTATTTGAGACCAGAGCTGGTACGACACATTGCCCCCACACATTTTTTTCCATATGAATTCGTCCATGTACGAATTCAGTAGTGCCCTTTCCGTCCCGTACCCCGAATTGTGCCTCATCTTAAATTTCTGCCATAGAGACTCAATGCTGTTTGTGTAAGCACCGGTCTCAGGATCAATAAAGTGGAGACTGTGGTTGGCAGTCTCATGCTGGTATCCCTCTGGCATGCCCCTGATGGTACTATATGCTGCCCACTGATCAGAAACTATAGTTGTTTCTGGAACAACATACTGCCTGATCAGTGGTAGAAGGGTAGCAGCATCTCGTCGCCCCATTGGAACGACGAAGCACTTATTGGTCCTTTCTTTGCTCGATGCCCCCAAAACATCACTGCTTCTCTATGATTGTACCTCTGTTGTACTTTTGCCTGGTAAGAAGTGTCTCGTCAATCTCCACTACTTTACCAGGCAGAAGTACAACAGAGGTACAATCATAGAGAAGCAGTGGTGTTTTAGAGGCATTGAGCAAAGGACCAATAAGTGCTTTGTCGTTCCAGTGGAGCGACGAGTTGCTGCTACTCTTCTGCGACTGATCAGGCAGTATGTTGTTCCAAGAACAACTATAGTTTCTCCAGTCTCCACTACCTTATCAGGGCCCCCGATCTTTAAGGGATGCCTTAGGAAACTTTCCGTGCAAATATTTCTAAAATAAATTATCTAGTCGGCTAAAGTGTGGAAGCCTAGTTTGCTCTCCGTTTCACGGAGCATTTCCGCTACTATATCTTCGTGTGTGAGAACAATTTAGATGACTTGCCAAGAGGGAAACGAGCATGCAACATCTAGTCTTCTTCGATGTTAGAATCACAGTTACGGAATGTAAACCAGAAGCTGTAGCATGAAAACTGGAAGCAATGCAACACCAATACACTGAAAGGTTCGCGGATCCGAAACCTGAACCTCCAGCACGGAGGCAAGAGCACTACCACACTCAAACGAGCGTTTTGAGATATACATAAACGTGTAAGTAAGCGAGTGGAGACGTTGCGGCGCCGCTGCAGTCCCCATCTCATTGCTGCTCTCCCCTTCCCTTTGCCGCTGTCCCCTTCCCTTTGTTGACGTCTCCTTCCTCTTTGACGCTGTTCCCTTCACTGTCCCCTTCCTCAACTTTCTTTCCAAAAACCAGCTAAAAAACCAGCGCGCAGGGACCGTCAATCGACAAGAGTGCCGAAAAATGGAGCCTGAAAATTTTGCACAACCTTTTTTGTGCAATAAACCAGGTTTGGTTTCAGTTTTAACGTCTTATCAGAGTTTGCCGTTCACTGGCTTACAATAGGTTGTTCTTTATGTTATTGATTTTCATAAATGTCTAATTTTTGTTTGTCTAAAATTTCTGTACACTTTTCGTAATATTGGAAAATTTTTATTTAGTAAAATAAAAATTCTTTAACGCTCGAAAATGAGGTTGGGAAAAAGAAAAACGTTTATAATTATCTCATTTCGTTTGGTCATAATAAACAGTAAAATTTATTTCTGGTTTATTTCTGTATACGGAAACAAATAATTAAAATTTTTTTATTTATTGTTTAGATAATTACAAAAATTTTTTAGGTTATTTTGTTCTTCACAGATTACTTAATATAATTTTAGATAATTTCTACGCTCTGCTACAAATTTTTGTTTTTTTGGAACAATGGCACTGGATGGCGTGACAAAACTGATGCTTATTCTCTGTTTGATAACTTTTGCTGTTTTTATGCTGTCAACATATTACAAAAACTGTACAGTTACTCTGTTTGAATTACAGCAAAAATCAAAAATTTTTGTACATACAACTATAAATACAGTGACAAATGCTGAGAGCAAAAATTGGAAATTATATTTGGCATCGAAAGTTGACAATAATTTGACATACCTGGCTTTGTCGAATATTTTTCGTCTACAAGCTTCTGAACGAAAATCATACATTGATACAATGTACAGTAGAAAGAATCCAAAATTTAAAACAAGAAATGCAGTTGGATTTCTGTACAATATATTGGCTCCTGAAGTAAGCTGTTAATAACTTTTATAATCAGTGTAACCATATTTTGTACATTTTTTTCTTTTTCATTTGTGTTAACGTGACTAATTAAAATACTTGAAGAAGAAAAATTTGAAATTTCAAAATGTTGTAAGTTTAGGGTGTTTTGTTTGCATTTTCTGTCAAACATAAACTAAGAAAAATTTAGTCAAAGATGGGAAGCAGCTTAAACAATATTTTATACAAACATTCGCTAATCAGCAGTAAAAAACAGAAATTAAAAAATCTATAACGTTTTTTGACTTTTTTTCATACTGATACATGGTACAACGAGTATATCATACTTAAGTGTCAATTTTTTCTCCAGATAATAAAATATATGTAGCTTTACTCTAAAAGTTAATTTCTGTACCATATATCGGTTCCTAAAGTGACGCAAATTATAATGTTATTATGGTTCAGATTATACAGAGTCGAAGTGAAAACTTTGTGCTGTATAGACAAATAGATGCAACAAAATGCTCATTAAGTTTCGGTCAATGTTTTTAAAATCTATTTAATTTTTGGTTCTATGTCTAGCAAAGGTAAGGCTTGGAAATGTTGAAGATGTCGGAAAATGGATCTGTAACCCGTGGAAAGTTCCAAAGCATAACTGTAGCGTCTATTCGCTTGGAATTAATAACGAAATTAGTTTTGATCTTCAGTTTCAGCAGATAACAAACAAAAGCTGTCGCCTTCATGCTTTTGACAAGGTTAAATGGCATTTTTCAGTTATATATTGTATTCTCTCAACTTCAACTGCCCAGAAACGGTTCCGCAGTGAACTTTATTTTTTTCAAATTACTTTTATAGTTAGAAAAATATTTATTTTTTTGAATCAAATGTTTCTTGATAAACAAATTTTTAGCACGAACGTGTTTTGAGTAACTGACCGCTGGGCGCACTAAACTTAATCCAAAAAAACTCCTTGTCAGCATTGTTGATTAATTATAATGTTTTGTTGAAACAAACTACAGATATTTTACATTTCTTAAATAAACCAATTTTTTTCTTGACTTTTAGTCACCACAAACAGACAATTCTAGCAAATTTGCGTAGCAACAGTGCAGATTTTAAAACTGCCAAAATAGGCGTTAAGGTAGACTCGGCTACCAATGAAGCTGATCTGTTGTCGTTGATGAAGGAAAATGGTGATAACAGAATAGAAATTTTAAAGATAGACATCGAAAGTTACATAACAGATCGTTCTTATTATAATTGGTGCAAACTTTTTGTATGTATAGTTGAAAAGTTTTTAAACACTTTCTTTCACATACTGTCGCAACAAACTGTGATTAGTGTTTCTTTACCTTAGCTGAGCAAAGAAAAAAGTAGGAAATTTCAAAGACATTTATTTATTGCTTTATTAATATTATTGTTTATTCAGTTTTACGTCTTTTTAGCTTTTAAATTGAATTTGTTGTTCAGGTAGCGAGATTACAGTGTTGCCTCAAATATTAAACAGTATTTCAATGAGTCAAGTTTTAATCGAAATACATACTGATGTTGCCGGAATAATTGATTTACTAAGAGTATGCTTAATCACTTCGCAGTTTAAACTTTTAGATGTAAAAATCTGATTTTTCAAAATATTTTTTTGCAACAAAAACTCAAAATAAAAATTATCTTTCAAAGTACTATTATAAGCTGTGCTACAGCTAACAGGTTAAAAGAGTCAACTAAAGTCGTCCTTAATTTTTTTCTATCGCTAATTAATCAGAAAATCACCTACTGTTACAAGATGTGCAGAATTATCTTTATATAAAATACGTCATTTAAGCAATAAGTGCCAGTTTTTTGATTTTCAGTTAAATGTCAAAAATTTCAACTGCAGTGCTTTTTGGTAATCACTAAACATTAGGCAAACAATGTCTTTTAATCAACAGCATTTTTTCAAAAAGTTCTATTGAGAAACATTTTCGATTCAATTTCAGGAGTTTTCAAAGACTGGGTTTTACTTGTTTTCATACGAAGTAAATGCTTACAATTTAACGAACTCTGAATACAGTTTTATTCATCGCGATTGTCTGCAACGTTACAATGCTGTCTATTTGGCAAAGTATCTTTCAAAAAAATAGAGGTAAAGTAGTATGGAATAGCCAAAAGAGATTGTCTCTGTCTGTTTTTTTTTCTTTAAATCTTTGGCCCAATTTATAATTATCAATAGTCTTACTAAAATTGCAACAAGTGATCATTTATGCTACATTTTCGACAAAGTCGAGTGAAAGAAGCTGATCATCTTTTAAGAATAATATTTATTCTAGGCTAATTTTTAATTAAATGTGCTAAAGCCAACACATCTTCAAGAAAGGTTTATCGCAAGCTGCTATCTCCTAACAAATGCGGCTGTGTTTCTTATAGTGAATGTGCTTTTTGCTAAACAAACTGAGTAATTAGGCAAAAATTTAAGTTTGTTTGAGACAACAATAATATAATTTATGCATTGTTCTGTTAATGTATATTTTTTATAGAATCATATTGTCTTTCATTTACTTAGTTGTTTTTGAAAGTAATTTTATATTGTTCAGAAACAACAGATAACTGCTTATCTATTTAATACCTCCCCCCCCCCC